GCCAGTTTAACTGGGGTTGCGATACTCACTTGTTAAATAATTCCAAATTGAAAAACGTATATTCGCCTCGGTCCATCATTTTGAGTTTGGCCGCTTCGATAATGATTTCTCTAACGTGTACATGGCTGGCGCAAGTTATGATTACTAGAAGGACAAAATTTTAATTTTAATCAAAAATTGAAACGGACACTTTTTAATATACAAGGGAAATTTAATAAATCTCTAGTCTAACCTATTAGTCTAAGATCCAACTGTGTGATTACTGCACTCATCTGTTTAATAATCAAAACACAATTTTTATAGATAATAAAATTATTGAAATAGAAATACGATTTTGTCGGATTGCTTATCAACAACATTTAATTAAAATTTAATCAAATTTTTTTTAACAATTTCGTTTACTTGTTTTGAAGATAAAATATAATTCATTTCAAAGAAAGATAATGTACAGAACTTAAAAAGTTGGTTTGCCGTTTCTTCATTGGCAGCAACCTCTTGTCAACTTTATACGTTGATAATGTATCTTAATAAAATATATGTATATGAAATATGAAACATAATTTTTATTTCTACGCGATGAAATGGGGTTGCCTATGAAAAAATCGCCACAAATAGGGGTTGCTGTTAAAAATATAGAGCGAGAGACAGTTAGCGCACCACAGCATTTAACAAATGAGGACTCAGTGTGTCAGCTCTGTTGTTTTAAAACTATTATGCATGCGTCAAAAATTAGAGTACTCAACTTAAGGCCCAAGCAAAAAAATCACAATTAATAAATTATATTTTCAGTTGTATTCGAAAAAATATAAAGATAAAAAAATATGATGGATGGAAACCACTTTTGACAGGTATTTGCCAATTGTCTTATTCATTCGCTCTACCATTTCATCAAACTGTAGGTGCAATGCCGTAGTTCTGGTTTTCTTCATGCCTAGTCTGTCACAGATTTCTCGGAAAAGCTGGCTTTCAAAATTTCTGCCTTGGTCACTGTGGTTCTTCAAGGGAACTCCAAATCTATTGATTAATTATTTTATTAACACGTCTGCAACAGTGCGGCCTCTTGATTTGAAATAATCCATAACCACCATCATGTATTTATTACCATACTCGGTTATGGGGAATGGTCGATCAATATTTAAGGCAATCCTTTCAAACGGGCTACTGCTACTGCTTCATAAGGGTCTTTCTTTTTCGTTGGGGTCAATTACTCATAGCACAGATGGTACATTTCTTACACCAGTCTTTGACATCATCGGAACTGTTTATCCAATAAAACTTTTCACGAACTCTCTGAAGGGTTTTCTTAACACCGAGATGTCTTTCCTAAGGACACTATCGTGTAACTGAGGAAGTACTACTCTAGTCTTTGGAATGACCAAGTGCCTTCTATTTTCGAAACTATCATCATTCTCTGGTACTTGCTTTAATAAAACTTCTTCCAGAATGAAAGAGTCACACTGCCCCAAATATGACTTAACTAATGGAGAGAGATTCGATACTTCTTGCCAAGTAGGTCGACGATTTTTTCTTTCCAATGTCGCATCTTTTTTAAAACGGGATCGTTTTCTTGCTCTTCCTTAAGTTTGGCAGAGGCCCACTCATCGTTGACTGTAGTTGTTCTTAGTAGTCCACTTTTTTGTTTGCAGTGAGAGCCCTTTGCTGGGCACAGTCTTCTTGAAAGAGAATCGGCATTTCTGTTTACTCCGGCTATATATTCGATCTTAAAGTCGTACTTTTGAAGTCGTTCAATCCATCTGGCGATTTGACTCTCAGGGTTTTGGAACTGCATCAGCCACGGAGTTCTCTTTACGTGACGCAGTAATTTCGCTCAGGTTTCGAGAGCACTTTACTGAAATAATTCTGAATCTGTAAAAGCAATCCTTCAATTTCTACATTAGTGGCATAAGTATCCAGAATAAATTCTGCCTCTGGTAGTGGGTAGCCTAGTTTTGGCAATGTTGTTAAATGCTTCTTTATTGTTTCAAAGGCAGTTTGGCAGTCTTCGTCCCAGCAAAATTTTCTCGCTTCTTCTGTGAGTTGTGTAAATGACTTAGCAATAACTGCGAATTTTCTTATAAATCTTCGGTAGTACGTACAGAGTCCAAGAAAATTTCTAATTTCATGTTTATGGTTGTGGCCATTGTTTGATGGAAGTTTTTCCATTTTCCAAACAATCCTTCCAGTTTCCTCTCTCTTGGTATTTGGTAATCTTCGAGCTGATTGACGAATCAGCCTGGCGTCACCAGTGTTAATTTTATGTTTTACAACAGAAGTTCTTCCTGTTTTCCTTCTTTTGGTACAAAAATGTCACGATATTGTAGAAGAAATTCCTTCGTTTTCTTTTTATCTAATTGAATCAGAGATTGACAAGCAACTGCAATCATTTGCTCGAATTTATCATTGGAATTATCAGAAGTCGAATTATGGAAGTTATTGGTACCCAGGTTCCGATTCTGGTCTCCTTCTTGATGGTAATTGGGTAATAACATTTATGAGACGTACTGGAATTTCTTTAGCAGTCGTGACTAACCCCTTTCCTACCAGAATTCCACCTCCAACCTTTTCATCGTGTTTTCAAGGTTCTATCATGACAGGTGTTCCATTTTCCATAGTTTCTTGAAGTTGTGCTATTATAATGGTTTCATTTCTGCCAGGTACCAATGTATCCTCCTGTACAGTAAGTGACACGGTACTGTTTCCATATGGACATCGAATACCTCTTCGGCACCAGCTTTGATCACTATGTTCTTAAAATCTAACTGGAAGCTATGTAAATTAATTACATCTATTCTTAGTATAACATTTTCTTCGATATCAGCGACAATAACAGTATGAGTGAACTTTTATGTAATTCCTCACCTGTAGCAGTCCACAGTCGCAACCTTGACAATAAAAGTTTCTTATGAGTATGTATGGTTGTTGGTCGAATAATGGTCCTAGTTGCTCCAGTATCCACCAACAGTGTATACTTTCTACCATTTACTTCACCGTCTACGTATACAATATCATCACGACATTTAAAAGAGGCTATCAGCTTTCATACTAATAGGTCTTTGGAATGGTTTCAGGTTGAAGCTGCCCCCTCTAGGCCGACCCCCTCTAGTTTTCCTGCAGCGTGTTGTCTTCATTTGTTGTGACCCTAGGGCGTTTGCACGAACTGAGTACATGTCATAGTTCACCGCAATTCCAGCACCTGATGGTCTTCGTCTTCATCTTTCTATCAGTAAGGCTCTTCATTATGTTAACCAATTGGTCGAGTTTATCTTCCTCTTCTTCCTATTTTACGGTCCTCACTTTAAAATCACACAGTTTTTTAGCCATTTTTGTCCACCATTTATTTACAGTTCCACTTATAACACCAATGTAACTATTATTTAATTTGAAAATAGTTTTATTCATTTATAATTTATTTACACCAATTACTAATTAATTTATTTAGACCCAAATACTATTATAATTCACATTTCTAATTTATTTAACAATGTATCTTTATTCGACAACATTTATATTGAAACTTAGCTTCGACGGCGAAAGAATTTACTCAGATATAAAATTGTAACAGCTCAGAGCTAGTCTAGAAGATCTGGAAATTATCATCAACGCTTCAGACCGCGAGAGAAAACATTCGAGTCTAGTCTCGATCACGAATCTAGCGGACAGCGACAGTGTAATCATAGACAGCGCGGCGGTATGTAAGGAGAATTCCAGGGTCGGAGCGGCCTTCACTGACACTATTGTTTATTTTTCCGACGCCTAAAAGTTAGCTGACTGATTGTGTTGTTCGTTTGAAACTATTGAAAAATTTAACATTTTGAGAAATACCTTTTAGATGGTATTTCGTTGCCACGTTTTCGAATATAAACAACAAAAAAATTTTAAATTGTTATAATTCGATGAGAAAATACCTAATTATAAACATATATATTTATAAATAATAATAAAATTTCTTTAACTGAAGATACATATGAATTAATAAATTTTTATATAAATAACATTGTATTGATAAAACTAGGGCCAGCCAACGCGATTTATTTTTTATGTAGTAGCTATGAACAAAATCATTTTTAAGTTTGATTAAAAACTTTACTGACCTCTTGAGTTTTGAAATGAAGCTTATCTTTTATTTAAAGCAGTTACTTTTTTAAAACATAGTATATGATAACCGTAATCATTAGCAGATTCTACTGTTAGTTCAGTGTTTGTGTGCATAACATTTTTTTGCGACGAAATGGTATTTTGATAGGCAACCCAAAAAACAGATGGGTATAGTAATCACACGGTCGGATCTCGTACTATATAAATCAAATCCAAAGACACAATGTTTATTTTTAAAATATAATTACTCCTCTCCTTTATTTGTATTTGCAAAATTTGGATCGTAGTTAAGCTCCACAGCAAATAAAATATACTATGATAAGGTTTCATACAATTTTATAAATCATTTATGTATATGATAAAAAGTAACGACCCTTGAATTAATTCGTGTGCAACTCTCGTACTTACAGTATTTAAATCCGGCATAAACGGTAGTTGACAGCGTCAAATTCTTTTGAGAGGTCCAGATATACATAGAAACATGGATTGCTTCCATCTATACCAGTTAATATTTTTAAATATAGTTTTAGAACTTAATTCTATAATAAAATAAAATTACAAAACTTACTTCCATAGTTCACTCCAACTTTGGTGGTCAAGAATTCCGAATAATGCGTTCCAAGGGTAGATATATCACCATCAACGTAGTCCAAACTCAAATATCTCAATTCTGCATTAGATTTGTCATTGCAAGGTAGCAAGTGTTTTCACCACCGACTTCACGTTGATCATTTTTTTCGTACAACAACACCAACTTTTTCCATTTATACCTAAAATATATATATATATTCGAAATAATAATACTGCACTGGTGAAAACATGGAAATTAAGTCTTCAAATAACTATCCCATCTTTATTATACTTTCGAACTCGAATCATAATCAAATTGCATTCGGATTGTTTACCTGTAAATTATCAAATGTATGAATTCGGAAAACGTTCTAAAATCTGCTTTTCCTGGATTAACCATTAAATACATTTCATGATCGAATTGTGTTTTGGGCTCAGTGAAATCAAAACTTAATCCAGTTGGGGTTAGGACCGGCGTATTTATGTATTTCGCTGTTCTCCCAACGGTAGCTGAAAAATAATTAGCAACATGCAAGTGACAGTGGGAAAATAATAGAAGTTTGCATACCCACGCAGTAGTCGCAAGATGGTCCTATTACAACGTTTGGACACATCATCTTATTTGCACGGACAATATCTCCAGAGGCTTTGCCCTGGGTGCAATTATCATCAAATGGAATATATTCCACCACAGTATTATTAGGCAGCTTTCCATCAGCTTTGCTTTTCATTTCGGCATTACGTAGTTGTTCTAAGGTCTGAAATTAAATCGCATCAAATAGAGACTATCTGATAAAGCCTTCAAGGAACTAATCATTTTCAACAAGATCATTAAACAATCAAAAACAGTTAAATTTTTGGTACAGCAAAACCTCAAAATAGAAATTTAGCAATTAACTTGCATTGGTACGACCTAGTTTATGTAATAGATGGAGACTGAGTATGCTGTATACTGCATATCATTTTGTATTGTTGTTTTTTGTTATTTTTGTTGTTGTTGTTGTTGTTGTTGTTGTTGTTGTTGTTGTTGTTGTTGTTGTTGTTATTGTTGTTTAGTTGTTGTTGTTGTTTGTTTTTTATTGTTTAAAATGTTTCGGTTTCGGCCCAAGGGGTGTCTTCAGGACTGAACGCAGCTATTAGCTTATGAAACTATTTTTTATTAATAAGAGGACGAAGGTATCTAAAAGAGTGATGTCTTCAAGATGAGACAAAGGGCGGATTGCCAGAGGAGAGGAAAAGTTTTCTTTTATAAGTCGAGTATGATAATATTACTGGTTGTTAGTAAAAATGTATCTAGCCTGGTTATACCTAACTTTAGCAAGAAAGGAATGGAACGAATCTTCTGACTAGGAAGAAAGTGATGAGGTAATAACTGTGATTGTGATACCTGTAAAAGAGGTGAGAAACAAAACTCCCTCTGTAAACTAGTTTTTGTACCCCAAGAGATTAAATTAATATCAGTTGGCTAAAAGTTAACATTAATCATTTCAGTAGTAACCCTAAAACATTGAGACTAACCTATTTTACTGAACTAATAGACGTCACAAAAGTTACTAAAAATCGGCTATTTTCATTATTAAATTTCCTGTTCTACTAGTTCATGTGGGATACGGATATTGTTGAAGATTCGTTACTAGCCTAAAAAACAAAATGCGGTTCCAGATTGACCTCAAGACAGCTACTTGTATATCCTTAACTATGCTTTTGTCACAATATGTAGACCATTTTTAAAATTCTGATGTGTAGAATTTTTCGGCATTTATTTCTTTTATCAGTTGGACATTTAAAAAAAACATATGTGCCTAGCTAAATTTAAAAAATATAGTGTATGCAAGAAGATTCATTAGTTATGTCCTAAAAATTATTGAATACATATTAATGAGTCGTTATAGGGTATAAAAGAGGATTATGGAAATACATAAAATTTATTGAACCATTAACTATAGGCTCAATATATTGTCCGATTAAAAACAATTGAATTAATATGGAGGACATTTGTCTTTTCAAAATTTAAATCGAAGTGTTTACTGTTTACTTTTTTCATTAATATACATTAATATTTATACATATTATATACATTTTTTATACAATATTTTAAATAACTAATTTATTTTGAATTTAATTTCAAGGTAGATTCCCAAGTTGATTTTGTAACAAGCGTTACAAAAATATGTAGGTATCCTTATTTTGAGATCTAAATCCATTGATTTTCTAAACCAAATTATTGTTACCCTTATGTTTTATGCAACTGGGTTATTTTAATAAACATTCTTAAAGTCTACCGTCGACCATGGGCTAAAGTGACCATATTTTGAAAAGTAGAAAGCGGGACAAATCGAAAACATAGAGATTTTTTCGACGAATTCTATTTGCAGTTCATTGAAGAGCAAAAAAAAGAAATCTTTAATGAAGTGCGTTGTTGTAAAAATCATATTAAAGCGGAAAGAGTGGTTTAAAATCGGAACTGTCCCGCCTAAATCGGGACGGATGGTCACTTTACCATGGACAGAATAACATTCCAACTAATCTAAATCCTCTCTACCATAAACGCACCGCCAAACTTGGAGGTTAACTTATGACCAATGATCACTGCTATACAGTTATATAGATTACTCATTTATATGTAAATCAGACATCGAAATAGAATAAAGTAGAGACGACATAAACACTATTTTTCGATATGACAGATGGACGCACTTCAAGTGACGGAAAAGTGTAATGGAAATGGCGACTTGAGTGGTACTTTGATTTCCTTGAAGTCAATAATTTTATATTTGAAAACTGACGTAACAAAAATGATTTTATATCATTTAAATAAGGCTATTTAACAAAAATAGTATTTATTTTCACCAAAACTGACTAACTTCACTATCTCGAGTTTGATATATGGTGTAAAAGTGTAATATAAAGGTGCAGACACTTTAGCATCGTCATAGCATTATTATTATTATAAGGGCAGAGGACGGTGTCCTATTGTGTCCAGTAAAAAAAGAACAAATTAATTAATCTAAAAACTATTAAATCAAGAAATAATTTTTAAATAAATCTAAAGACTAAATACAAGTATAGTTCCAAAATTAAATTCGAAAATGCAAATGTAAGTTAGAACATTGATCAAATGGTAAATCCAAAAATATATCATTATTATGAATTGTGAAAAATATGCCTGTCTATATTGTTTTTGTAAATATTGACACTTTGGAAATCTATAATTTCTTGGGGCAGGTTTTTCCAGACTTCGAAGATTCTGTTACTCAGAAAATGTTGTCTCGTTCTTTGTTTTGATGTTTTCTTTCTGTAGTTTTAGCGAATGTCCACGAAGTTGGGAGTCAGTATTAAGAGAAAAAGTTTGATTAAGGCCACCAAAGTTATCTTTTATTATTCGAAACGACAGAATTAGGTTACCGCGGAGACGTCTGTTGGATTGTTATAAGATTTCCCATTTCTAACCTTTCCTCGTATGATGGTCTAATGCGGCCAAAGGTAAGCTGGGTGGCGCGGCGTTGAACACATTCCAGCATTTGTTGGTCGCGTACAAGGTCTGGATACCACACGGATCCTGCGTATTATAGGATAGGACGGACGTAGTATTTATAAAGTCTGAACAACGTTTCAAACGACACCTTTGAAAATGTTTTTTGAATTAGGAATAATCTGGAGTTTGCGCGTTTGCACACATTAGCGATATGATCACTCGACGAAAGATTAGAATTCACTGTAACACCTAGATCGTTGTACGAGGACACTCTATTTAATGCATGCATGTTGATTGAATACGGCAACTCCGGATAATTTTTCCAATATAGAGCACAACACATTTGTTTATATTTCGGGGCAAGAACCTTGAATGGAGGTTGTTAAGGTCATTTTGAAGTGCCTAATTGTCGTTAAGAGGGTTGGCAAATATTTTTGTATCATCGGCATAAAAACCTATTGAGGATGAAACTAGCGCTTTAAGGTCGCTTACGTAAGCAGTAAACAACAAAGGGCCGAGAACCGAGCCCTGTGGAACACCACTAGAGACTGGTCTTTCTAAGGAGAACTTGCAACCAACTCTTACTTTAAAAGATCTGTCGGTTAGAAAATTTAAGATCCAATTATGAAGGTTACCGCGGATGCCTAGATGTTCCAGTTTATGAAGTAATCGACGTTTTGGGACTGTCAAAAGCCTTAGAAAAATCTAGATAAATGATTATCGATATGCTTTTTATCGTCAATGGATTCCGTCCAATTACTAATACAATGGAGGAGGTTGTTAAGAGACGATCTTCCTTTAATGAAGCCGCATTGTTGTTGAGGTATAACATTTTCAAGGATTAAAAAGGAGGACATTTTTTCGGCAACAATTGATTCCCTAACCTTGCAAATAGCTGGTAGGAGGCTGATCGGGCGGTAGTTATTGGGATCAAGTTTATTGCCTTTTTTAAAGATCGGAGGAACAGATGCAGATTTCCAGGAGGAGAGAAGAGAACCTAGAGTGGAGAAGGATGTATTCATTATTATAGAAAGAGGGTATGACAGAACGTCTGCGCATTTTTTTAAGAAATAAGGTGTTAAGCCGTCAAGGCCAGGGGATGAGTTAGCTTTAATACCTAGTAAATTATTTTTAATTTGGGTTTCAGTAAAAGATATATTTTCAAGTGAAGCTAAATTACGTGTAGTAATAATATGGTGTAGTACATCGTTTGGTGGCTCGATGGTGTAGGTATTGGAGAAAGAGAGCGATATCTCAGCTGTTTCGAAATTGGAGGAGCATAAACTTCCATCGGTCTTTTGAAGAAAAGGAGTGGCCACTTTGAATGAGAGAGAAGAATGGATGTATTTAAAGATTTTTTTAGTATTGTCACTGTTAGCAATTGATTATTCGTAAGATTGTCTCGTAGAAGACAGGTGCCGCTTGAGCTGGTTGGAAAATCTTCTGTGGCAGATGAAATCGTCGTTATCTTGTGTGTTTTTATAACTTCTCCATAGATTGCGTTTATGTTTTATCATTTCTAGTAGTAAGTGATCCAGGGTTTTAATTTGTTGCGATAAACTCTACGTTTAATAGTTTTTTGAGAGAATTTGTGTAGTGATGTTGTGAAATTTGTTCCACATAGATGAAAAATCATTAGAGGCCAGCAGTAAGTTATTCCAATTAGAAATTGCAAGCGAATGATCAACTTTAGTGAAGTCAATGATTTCTAACGTTGAGAAATGTTCTTCCGATTTAGTAGAGAGTAGATTGAATTGTACGTGTGCCATTATTACTGCGTCATCGGATTTTCCAATAGGAGTACTAACCTCTAGAGAGGACAATTGTGTGTCATTTGTCAAGAGAATGTCTAGTGTTGAAGGATCATTATTGATTCGAAAGCGTGTTGGTTCAAAAATCAGTTGAGATTGGAATTTTGAACAAAGTTCATAAAAAGATTTTTGGAGTTGTTGCCGTCGGAAACATTCATAATGAGACAGGAAATATCAGGAAAATTGAAGTGTCCAATAATAATTGTGTTATCAAGAACATATAGATCTTCAAGTTTTGCTAGGAGCGTAATGGTGTCGTTTAAAAGAGTGTCACCGGGTCGATAAATACATGCAAGATGTACAGAAGTTAAATGTTTAGTTATTTTTATGTGCACAGGAGATACAGAAAAATTATTTACATCTCCTCCTCTTTATTCTATCTCAATGAAACCAGACAACGAAAAGCGGGTTTCACTAGGCGAAATTTTGTCTCAATTTTGAGTACTCAATTATGAGTTGTAAACATAGTGCC